ATAAATTTTAAAAAGTGTTTTTAATTTATCTTAATATTTATTTACTGTTACTTATTTAAGTATCCACTCATTATTTACAGTATTTTTTATTGTTTTAACTTAAGAATTAGGTTCCGTCAAGTTGACAAGACAACTTGAGAGAGGAGTTAGACATAATGGAATTATGGACCGATTTCGATCATACGAAATATTCACTTTTCATGATTCATTGAGGTAGATATTCATACAAAAATTGATATAATCGAATATTTGTAATTATATATTTGAATTATATTTATTTTTAAAAAAATGAATGACAAATATAATTTCAAGAATAGTTTGTAATATAAATATTATTTAAATATGTAACTATCGATATTCAATCATCTTATTTTTTATATGAATATTTTACTCAACGAATCTTAAAAAGTAAATAATTCGAATTATTGAAATTGACCCCAAAAAGGGGTCATTAAATCTAAAATGTTCTTTCAAGTTGGATGATCAATTTGAGAAAAATCCAAACCCTTAATGTAAGGTCCCGGTATTCTACATCGGGAATGGAGGGAAAATTCCTAGGCTATTAAAGTAAAAACTTGAACCTTTATATAGCATCGAAACCTTTTCTCGAGTGGTGAAATCTCTGGCAGAACTCCCTAGTTAAGCGTGCTTAGATTGGAGTAGTTCTAGGATATGTGACTCATTATGAAGAACAAATCTGTGCGAGCGTGACCCAAAACGGACAATATTGATGACATGCACTACTAGAAAAGGGGGTATATGACACGGAACTTTTTGCGACGGTATACATTATCTTCGAAAAAAGCTTCTTTTTGCGACAATTAATATCCTGTCGTCAATGGTCACTTATTGCGATGGTAATTTCTGTCTCAAAAAGAATGAAGCATATGTTCAATGATTTTTGCAACAGCAAACCTATATCCGTCGCAAAAGGCTCATTTTTTGCGACGATTCTTCTCGCCCGACGTAAATATATATTTTTAATTTTTTTTTTTTTTTGTGATGGGCATCATTGTGCTGTCGCCAATAGCCACAAAACACCCAAATTTCCCAAATTCTCAAACGCTTGGCGTCTTTGATATTTTCATTTTTCCCCCCCATCTCTCTCTCTCTCTCTCTCTCTCTCTCTCTATCTTTCATCTACGAGTTCACTCCCGCCGACATCAGTTTGTTGATCCACCTTCACCAAGCTGACATCGCCGCCCACCCTCTCTCGATCTCGCCATCGATCTCGGTCAGTACATGGATATCACCTCTCTCAAAGCTTTAGAAGTCATCAACATTCAATTGGTACCTCTCCCAATGGTCTTACAGATCCAAAATTTGCATTTTTATTTGCAGTTTGCACTCATCTGTTTTCATCTCTCTCTTTTAATTCCTTCAAAAACCCTAGAGTTTGAAGGTAATGACTCTCTCTCTTTCTCTATTTTAATTTAGGAATTTTGCATTCGATATTTATGCTACAAATTTGAAATTTCTGATTTGAAATTTATAAAAACCTAGAGCTTGAAGGGTAAGGGTTTTCTCTCTGCATTCGAAATTTGTATTACAGATTAAAATCCTCGTAGAATAATAACTCTTCTCTATTTGTTGTTCTGTTTAGTCATTTATTGCTATATTTTTGTCTGAATTTTTGTAGTCTATCTATAAAAATAAAGCAATCTCAGTTTTTCTCTTTATTGATCTGTTTTTTTTTTTTTTTTTTTTTTTTGACCTTTGAACATTTGTATCTTTTTGACCTTTGAACATTTGTGCTAGAAGCAACTTAGTTTCCCTTTTTCTGTTTTTTGTTTCAGTTTCATATCTTTGATCTTTTTTCTTTTCTTTTTTTTTTTTGTTTGTTTTGTTTTGTTTGTTTATATCTTCATCACCGTAATTGATTGATAGACTTGATGATGATGAAATAAATGAGGAGATCTATGTGCAGGTTTGTTCGACGATTTAGCCCTCTAAAGTCAGATCTCTGTATCTCTCTCTGTTTTCTTTCCATTTCATATATTCGATTTCCAGATTTTTTTAAATTTCTTTTGGTTTTGTCTTCAGCCCTTTAGTCAAGTCATAGAGATGATGATGACAGAGTTAAAGAGATCTATACGTAGGTTTTTGGCTCAAACCCAAATTATAAACATTCATATCTATCACATTTGATGTTGTTCTATACGCAGGTTTTTGGCTCAAACCCAAATTATAAACATTCATATCTATCATAGTTGATGTCGTTTCGTTCATCGATTCACATATAAATCCAGCAAAATCCAAGGTTCTGACTGAGATCTTTGTCTGTCCTTATCTTTTTTTACATACACGATCTACTTCATCACTTTTCTTTCCAATTTTGTGATCTAATCAAATCTATTTTTCTAATTTTGTTTATTCAATCAGATCTAATTCTTTGTTGTTTGTTGAGAAACTATACTATTTGTAAAACATTTTTTTACTAGAGCTCCTCTCCCCACTCCAATCCCTAATGAGGCAGCCCTCATGTCTCCATGCCATTTTGATGGGGTTTCTAGAAGGTGCTGAGTAAATAGATTATAGTTTGGGGAGAATGTTTTGATGTATATTTTTATTATGTTTGTAGTTCTGTATATCAATGCAAGCAGGAAAATCTCCATGATTTGTTAAGAATTACTAGAAGTAAATAATCTTTGTAAAATATCAAAAATTAAGGACGGATTGAATTAATGTTTCTATGAATGAAGTTGGCTATGTACCTTAATATCGATTCTCTGTGTGTGTTGTACATGGGCACAGAGCTCCTCTTTCCACTCTAACCCCCAATGAGGGCAACCCTCATGTCTCCATGCCATTTCGATTCTATGTGTGTGTTGTACTCGGGGGACTTTAGAACATGTTAATCTATGCAAGTTTGATTTGATAAAGAAATTTTTGGGTTGACACTAATATGATATTCCGAGCGATGGAAACTTTCTTCTCTTTGTGATCCTAAATTTTAGTTTTATATTTGGTTGTTGCCATTTCACGGTATCTTCTCCACAACATTTATGGCCTCTTCATGTTACCTTGGTTGCTGTACTGGCTATTTTGTGGATCAGAATTAGATTACCATGTTTCGAATTATATGTATATATTCTGTATAGAAACTCTAGTGCCCGTAAATTAAATTGGAAATGTGTACATAATATAAAAGGATATTGTGTTTTGTTCACCAAAATTTCAAAATAAGAAGGAAAAAGCTTGCTATTCAAGAACCTATTTTTGTAAATATCATTTTTTGTTTAATTTTGTTCTCGAAAATCTTATTTATCTGAATATATGGTTTGCTAATCATGTCTATTTTTGTCATGGAATATGTAGTCTTGTAAAATGGGCCAAGTTGGTGTTCCTTAAATTGATGTTGTTTTATTAGCTTTTTTTTTTTTAAAAAAAAAGGAAAAAAAAAAACAATTGCAGACTATATATCACTAGATGAGCTATTTTTCTTCCTCCCTGTTTTTTCAACTTTCTTTCAACTCTGGTAACATTCAATTAGAGAAGAAAGCATGCCAATTTCTATAAACCAGTGAAAATCCATTAGAAATTCTTGCTCTCTGTTTCAATCAATGTGTGTTGTCTCAGTCCCTTAATACTAATTTCTTACTCTGTTACAAGTTACAATCTCAATTACTAATCTTGGTGGCACAAAAATTGATTTGAAAATTGCTAGTAATGATATTGATATCCATGTCATTGTTTCTGAGTTGCCTTATATGCTTACATAAGTTGAATAATTTCCAAATAGGAGCTCTGTTTTTGGGGCTTGCTGATAGCCCTTTAAAGGGCTTGAATAATTTGGATACATGCTACTGATTGTGATTTTGAGCAAGCTTCCATGACCATGAGTGCTTTCTGTATTAGTAACTGACCATAGAAAAACTGTTTAAAGCATTTTAAAAAGTTTAGTTTTTGTGTAACTCCCTGTTGGATTTTAGTATTGTGGTAAGTAAGTAGTAGGTAACCACTTGGTTGAAATGGAGACATAAAAGATGATACTTTTGTCAAATTTTCACTAAGCTTTCTAGGTTCCAGTAACGTATACCAAATCTTTTGAAGGTTGTAAAAACTTCAAGTGATTTTAACCTCTAATAAATCACAACAGCGGAAGAGATGCCCAACTTACCCGCATCGTAGTTATTATTATACGATAGGATGAAGGGGGAATTTTTTTCTTACTTCTTATTTTAGTTGATTTTTGGTATTAATAACTTTTTGTTTACTTTTTAACAAACCATTAAACTTGCACATGTTGAGACTGCATTGAGTTTGTGGTCATCTGTCTCTCTCTCTCAAATTGGTATGCAACTTATGCATTATGGTCATTAGCCTTTCTGGCCACGCTAATATTCTCTGTCGTGTTCTATGAAATAGTTATGAAGTGTCAGTTTTCTCTTGCACAAACCACCCTCCGGCAAAAAAAGATAGGCAAATTCCCAAATTCTTAAACGCTTGGCAATGCATTTGCTTATTTGCAATACAATTATCCCTTTTTTCAAATGACAATAAACCTGTTAACTGTGCTACTAGCTCTTCTTGAATTATTTTGCATATATGCTTGATTGTACAAATTGGAAAACTGTGGTTGATAATTAGTGTTGTGTGGTGGTCTTGACAAAGTTATCTGGCTTGGCTCTCAAGTTAATAAACTTGAGCTTGAAATTTATTGAATGTTATATACTATTAAGATCACTGTGCAACTTATTGGAAAAAAGTATCTCCACAATTGCTTGGTACCGGACTGTGCTTAAATTCAAATCATTTGTGCTTGTGCAAAAATTTTGGTTCAGCTAAAATATTGTAAATTGTGTTTTTTTAAAGCTAAACTCTAGCATTGTTCAACCATGTATATTAATAAATAGTCAATGAGTCTTGATAACTTGGTTTTGGAATCCTCGAATGAGGATTGATATCATTTGGATGGCCAAAATTGATGGGAATCCTTTTTGAGGAGTTTTGAGATGCCCATGACTGAACTTTTATATAAAATTCATCTGTCCTTTGATGGTTTTTACGGCATTTTGTTGTTAGAAACATCATATTCTAAACCATCCTCAAATCATTTAGGCAAGTTTGTCTCTGAGAATATTTTCAATGAGCTTCATGATCATATTTATGTGTTAGGAAATTTAGGACTATTGAATTAATTACCAACAAATCTGTTGAGAAACATACTTATTCATAAAAACATAAAATGAAGACTCAAAATAACTTGAAACTTGATTACATAAGGTAGGCTTGTGTGAAATTGCTAATTTGACCTTATTCTTTTTGGCATGCTATGCATCAATTCAGAATGTTTTTTTGAGATTGATATATAGGTTGAATTAGCTGATAATACATCAAGAAAATTACAAGACATTGCATCATTTTGATATGGAACTAGTATGCAACAGATAACTATCAAGTGATCCTTGCTGCAAAACATTGCAGAGTGTATATGTGTCTGTGTGTCTCTTTCTATGTCTGTGTAGAGAGAAAGATGGAGGACTGATTGGCGGATAGACAGATGAATGCTATAAGTTTATGAATAATAACTAGTGAGCTGTATGCAACTCAAAAAGTGTGGATGCTGTTGTTGCTGCTATGATGAATTATTCTGCAGCAGCTTATAAGCATAGACTTAGAAATTCTCTCTAGTTGAGCTATCCACTGGAGTATGGTAACTTGACTAATTGGCTATGCCGATTCAAACAAGATTTGATCATTTTTTAGATGATGTCACTGTACTTGACCTATTGCTTGATTGATTTTGGATCTTACAAATTTACGTGTAAAGTCAATTGACTAATTCCACTTTGATTTGACTTAGATATTTGGATTGAGTTCTTCAGTGGCTATAAGGGCAGACTTTTTGAAGGATTTAGACTATGAAAACATAAAGCAAACAATTTTTGGGACTAGGAAATCCCTTTTTGTCCTAATACAAACTTTGGGGTGTCATCATTTGTGAGTGGAAAGTATATACTGACTTCAGCAAGTTTTTACTCCAGCTACTTTTAGAAATTCCTGAAGTTACCGAGGTTCCAAGCTTCAGTAGGGAAGCACAGTCTTACTTGCAAGGATTGATTGATGGATTTACCATAAGTGATGCCTTGGAAGTTAAAAATATAGAGAAAGTGACAAACCATGATGTGAAAGCAGTGGAATACTTCTTGAAATAGAAATGCCAATCACATCCAGAGATTGCGAAGGTTTGAACTTATCCTCCAGTTTCTTCAGATATTAAAATGACCAGTTTTAGTACATTTATTTGACATAATTCAACTGTTGGTGTTGTGTTTTCAGTTGTGTTGTGATGCTTATCATGATGTTAATTTTGCTAATGCAAAATTTTTTAGCAGTTGACCTGTTCTCTTTCAGTTGCTCAAGATAGTAGAATGACTGCCTTAGTGTATTTGACATAATTGAATTGTTACTGTAGCCAATCTTAAAGTTGCAATGTCTTTCATTATTACTATTGCTAATTGAAATATTTTGTTCATTGGTATTCAAATTGTGGTAGCTAGCATTCCAAAATCTACTCATTTCCACCTTATTACTATGATTCGTTAATGTCAAATGCAACCATAAAGCAAGCTAATTGGGATGCTTCAAAAGTTCGTACAGAGTTGAGACAAGAGCTAAGGGATGAGATTAGAGACGAATTGAGGGAGGCGATGTGAGCAGAGCTTTCGACACAAATACAACAAATGAAAGCTGAAATGTTGGCTATCGTGTCTCAGGAAGGGAGTACAAATCACAACAAATAGGTTTGGTATAAATTATGTTTTATAAATATCTAACTTAAGCACAATTCTATTATTGTATATAAATACGATTAACAAATAATACCCATATATATCATAGGTACCGGATGCATTGAGTGGCCACCGTGAACCTACGGATTATGAGGCCGATGAGAACCCCCATACACCACCACTAGATGATGAGGTAAACCTTTCAAACACTTTGAAAACTTGTCATTTGTGAAAACTTGTCGTTTAGAAACTTTTTTTTCGAACCGGTTGACTCACTAAAATGGTCAAACGGTGTTGGATGTCGACGAACTAGGCACAAATAACTTGTAGGAGAATACGAAAATCAAAACCGATTCCTGGTTTGAATGTAGAGGCTAATTTCCGTTTATGAAAATTGTTCTTTAGAAAACTTTTTCCCGAACCGGTTGACTCACTAATATGGTCAAATGGCGTCGGATGTCAACGAAACTTGACACACATGACTAACTAGGCACAAATGACTTGTAGGAGAAGACAGAACTCGAAACTGATTCCCGATTTTGAATCTAGAGCCTAATTTCGGTTTATGAAAACTTGTTCTTTAAAAACTCTTTTTGAACCGGTAGACTCACCAAAATGCTCAAACGGTGTCGGATGCCAATGAAACTTGGCACATGCGACTAACTAGGCACAAATGACGAGTAGGAAAAGACAGAACTCGAAATTGATTCTCGGTTTTGAATCTAGAGCCTAATTTCCATTTATGAAAACTTGTTTTTTAAAAACTTGTTCTTTAAAAACTCTTTTTTGAATCGGTTGACTCACCAAAATGCTCAATTGGCGTTGGGTGTCAACGAAACTTGACACATGCGACTAACTAGGCACAAATGACTTGTAGGAGAAGACAGAACTGTAAACCGATTCCCGATTTTGAAACTAGAGCCTAATTTCCGTTTATAAAAACTTGTTATTTACAAACTTTTTTTCTTAACCGGTTGACTCAATAAAATGCTCAAACGCGTTGGATGTCAATGAAACTTGACGCACATGATTAACTAGGCCCAAATGACTCGTAGAAAAAGACAGGACTCGAAACTGTTTCTCGGTTTTGAATTTGGAGCCTAATTTCCGTTTATGAAAACTTGTCTTTTATAAACTCTTTTTTGAATGTGATGATATCTTTGCATATCAATATTGTAGCTTACAATCTTATTTATTTATTTATTGAAATATCAAATATTTTACATTTTCTGTAGGTATGAAATTAATTATATTGTAAATAATGATTTTTTTTGTGGGTTTCTTTTTGCAGATGTGACCCCTTTTGAGTATGTGATGATATCTTCACATATCGATATTAGAGTGTACTATTGACATTAAAACAAATTATAATATATATATTTTTTATTTGTATTGTCGATACTTTTATTTTGCTTTAGATACAAAAATTTAAGTTCTTGAATATAAAAAATTATTAGTATTGTTGGAGAATGTTTTATATATTTTTGTAAAGAATATTTGGTTGACAATTGTTATGGGGTACATATATACGTATGATTTTGTGGATGTGAATGTGAATGTGAATGTGAATGTATTTTATTTTAGAAAATATTAATAATTTGCACGTGGAATGAATTAATAAAATATATATTGATTTTATAAAAATAATTTTATTGCGACGGTGTAAACTGTCGCAAATATGGTATTAATTTAATTCAACTTTTTTGCGACATTTTAGACCGTCGCTAATAATACTTTTGGCGACGGTTTAAACTGTCGCAAATACGATATTATTTGAATTGTACTTTTTTGCGACGTTTTAGACCGCCATTAATAATACTTTTCCCGACGTCAAATGCCATCACTAAAAAAGTTTTAGTGACGGCAATCAATATCGTCACTAAAAGTGAAGTTTTTTCTCATTTTTTTTGTGTCAGATTAAACCGTTGCAAAAACCATTGATTAGCCGTCGCTACAAGAAAGCGATGGTTTGCTACCATTGCAAATACTCTTTGTCACGCCCCTTTCCACCACCCCCCATTTCCCGTCCCTACTTCGTCGCAAAAAGTTTTTTGCGACGATATGTGAACCTTTTGCGACGTTTAAGACCGTCGCAAAAGCTCCGGTTTTTAGTAGTGATATAAAGGGTTGAGGTGTTACAAATGGTATCAAAGTCGATTCTCTGGAGTACAGAGTGTGGGCCCCTGGCGTCTCGCGGTGCATGTGGATAGACTCGTGAGCTGGCAGGCCACTGCACAGGGAAGTGCAGCCCTAAAGGGAGTGGATTATAAGGTCTCGGTGTCCCACATCGAGAATAGAGGGGGAGTTCCTAGACTATAAAAATAAAACCTAGACCCTTATATAGCATTGAAGCCTTTCTCAAGTGGTGAAATCCCTAGCAGAACTCCCTAGTTAAGCGTGCTTAAGCTGGAGTAGTTCTGGACCCACTAGGAAGAACAAATTTGTGCGGACGTGACCCAAAGTAGACAATATCGGTGACATGTGAAGGATTGGAACGTTACAAACTTTATCATAAAAGAGATTAGTATAATTATAATAAATTTATGAATTAATTATATATTTTTTTTCAAAGGAGGTGAGTGCAATTTACCTTTTAGTTATTTGGACACCCCTGTGAAAAAGTGAAGTTTAGCCTTGACATGGTTAAGATTTTTTCTATTTATTTATAGATTTTATTATGTGAAAAATATTTCTAATAATTAATTAATATTAAATGGCATTGTTAAAACTAAATTTTGGTATGTTATAGTGAGAAAATAATATAAGTTGGAAATGTTGTGCTAATTGTGTGGAGGAAAATGATTTAGAAAAAAAAAAAAATTGTATATATAAAACACATTTAGAATAATGTGATACTGATATTTTTTGCAATTATGAGCCATAAGAATGAGTAGTTGACCTAAAATGAAAAGACTAATGTCATTTTGTATGAAATTTATGTATAAAAAATCTATTTATATAATATTACCCTTGTGGAAATGTCATTTCTTTATAAAGATAGAGAGAAGAGATTTTGCCAAATTTTAATATTGCTAAAATTTGACAAAAAATAACACAAGATGAATTTGGACGAGTTATCAAATTTTAACTTCAGCACGAAAAAAAAAGCACACCATTAACAACTTAAAGTAGTTGTATTATTTTTGTAAAGGGTTTTGATAAAGACCCCCTCCAATCACAACCCTTACCACCCCAAACATACGTGGTGGGTGATAATTGGAGGAGAAGGAAAATAAAAAAAAATATAAAATAAAAAATTTGACCAATGAGAGCCAGAGGGGGTGGGGGAAAAGGGGTCTAAGTCTTTTTCTTTTTGTAAAATGGATGTCGAAAAAAGTGTATAATTATTTTAAATTTATTAACTAATGTTCTTAGAATTGTCAATAACCAGACTCTCTATTTACTTTTTCTTCAAAGGTCTATTTTGATAGCATTTTAGTTTTATTTGGTTGTATTATGGAAAGTTTTTTGGTCCCATTTGGGAACATTATGTTTTATTATTATTTTTTTTTATCTTTTTAGTTAAATATGAGATAAAAAAATTAATATGTTTGGAATAATTTTTTAATTTTTTACGAAAAAATATGTAAAAAGTAGAGAAAAAAATAAAATTTTAATTGTTTTGTATAATTTGTTGATTTTTTGACTTTTAAGATAAAACTATAAGTTGCCAAACCTATTAATTTAATTATGGTCGGGTTTAATGGAAGTAATCGATTTGTTTGATCCAGTACTTTAAAAGTTAGTTATGGGCTTTAAATAAATAAATAAATAAATAAATAACTTGTAATAGAAATACAATTTTTAATAAATTACCAAATGTTTCATAGTTTTTTTGGCTTGTGTGTGTGTTTTTTTTTCCACTAAATTCTATTTAAACTAAAAAATTAACTTTTAATTTGTGTCAAAAAAGGAATTATAACTTGGACTTCTTCAATGTTTGTCATCTCAATTTGAAATAGTGTTTGGGTATGGCAGTTATATTTTGAAATCGATTTCAGTGAGTCGAACCGTTTAATTTGTAGAACTCCTTAAAACATCAGTAATTATATGCTTGAATTAAATTTGTATTATAAAAAATGAATGACTGTTCTTAAAATCATATTTGTCGCTCATTTTTTTTAAAAAGAAAATATGATTCAACTATATAGTTACAGATGTTCAATCATTTTTATTTTTT